GTCAACAGTGCGAACTGAACAATATGTTCAAGGGTGCAAAATAGGCCCCTCTCGTTCTGCTCGTCGTTAAGTGTATTCTTTTTGTATTGCCTCTCTCCCACCCTTTTCATTGAACTCTCTGTCAATGAGAGAGAGAGAGAGAGAGAGAGGGGGAGATGGGATCAACGTCGACTCGACACAAACCAGGACATTTCGGGACTATGATATGGATCAATTTTATTTGAAGAAGTCGCTTGTGCGTAGAGGTCTTTAGCAGTTGGAGGAAACCGGACCACCCGAAGAAAATTCACGAGGTTGGACAGGCGACCCTACTCCTTGTCACGCACAACTGGTGAATAAAAACCACGCCAGAGATGGGGTTTAACGTCCACTCGACACAAACCAGGTCATTTCGGGACTATAACGTAAGGTTCAACTTTATTTCAATAATTCGCTTGCGCGTAGTGGACTTTAGCAGTGGGAGGAAACCGGAGGACAAGGAGAAAACCCACGAGGTTGGTCAGGCGACCCTATTCCTTGTCACGTACAACCGTGAAATCGAAACCCCGCCTGTTGACTCAACGACAGATTTTATGATACAGAATGAATTCCAGAAGGCGATGGAAGACCAGTTATCAAGTTTCATGCTCTGACACGCTAATATATATTCTTAATAATACTTTAGATACATAACTTGTAAAAATATCGAATGAGAAATTGGAGGTTCGTGTTTATATATGTTTTCTTTCAGGTTCTTTGCTTCGAAAGGGTCGCCATTGAATCATCAGAGCTTGTCTGTCGTCCTGCCAAAGAAAACGTCCCCCAGTGAAGCAGACATGGTCAATAAAACCATCGATTTAAATGACAAGTAATAAAATGTCTGGCTAACTCCGAGACGCGGTGCTAACTAAATATTTGTAATAAGAAGCGACCTATGATTATCATCTAACTTATTTATTAGGCTAATATTTATATACGGGATTATCCAGTAGACACGCGTCTTGTCCCAATGTTTAGTCTGCGGAATTGTTATAAATTCGTCCGATCCCGGTGTTGGCCGAGAAAGTTCATCATCGGGTTTTTCCGGCGTGGTTTCCCCTTGTCAGTGGTGCAGGAAGGAGGGCCTTGCAAGGACAAAAAACCGAAGACACGTTTATACAGTGGCGTGCACGTAAAATATCCCTTGTGACAGTTGGAATTCGTTTTAAGAGTAGGCCATAGTGCCGCTGTCCGGGCAAAATTTCCTTCATAGGACATTGTATGACGTATGCCCGTCTTCATTAGCCCAGTAGGAGCAGAACAGTAGGACGTTGTTAAACCCCATTTCACAGCTTTTCATTTTCTTATAAATTCATATTACTCTAGTCTCACTTTACAGCCGCGACAAATTTTATTAGTCATATCTTGCCTTGGTCAGGCTTATTTTAGGACTTTGTTTGCGTCTATCGATGGCTTATCCCAAGATTGATATGGTGTTAATTATTAAATATACATAATGTTAGATTTAGATAAAGAGCTAGCCATTCTTGCTATAAAAGTTCGAAATAAATAATGTAAAATGAATAATTTGAAAATTTCATTCAAATTACTCTATTGCGAGCGAAGATATTAGCCTTTGAAGATTTGACAAGACGTGTGTAATAATTTCAACCACCGTAATGGTTGTTTGAAGCTAAGTCTCGCTCCTCCATTTTAGCTAAATCAAAATATGGCTGAACTGGTCTAATCTATTTAATATCGTATAAATCCGATGCCACCGAGAGTTGATTATGGCCTGGATAAGTTAATTAATGTCTCATTAATAATTTTGATAGCATTTCAGGCCTAAAGAAAGGCCTGCAATAGGCAGATTTAGTTCTTGCATTATGTATGTTTAATAATAATAGCGAGTTTGAAGAGTATAATCTATTATGAAACAGAGCGATGAAGTTAACATTAAGCTGATAAGGTTCGTACCGTAAAGAACGGGGGGGAGGGGGGTGGGAGAGAGAGAGAGAGAGACTAACACATGGTTCAATTTATTCAATAATTCGCTTAAGAAAACCTATGGGGTTGGACAGGCGACCCTACTCCTTGTCACGTACAACCGGGGAATTGAAACCACGCCAGTTGACTCAGTGATAGACCGTATGATACAGCGCGCACGTGCTAACCATTCGGCCATCCAAACCCCCACCCTGCCTCAGTGAGATCCCGCGTTCGACCCTGATGTGGGCCGAGAAGTTCCTCTGGTTGGGTCATCCTTGCCAGTGGCACAATGCGGTGGGTCCTAGCAAGGCAAAGTCTCTATTCCTTCGGATAGTATAGACAATCAAGGGCCAAGTGTAAACTCTTGAGCGTGCACGTAAATGAAAGCATGGCAGCTAGAAATCGGTGCCCCTATTCATTATTCTAATCCAAAGAGACATAACGACCCAACTCCCTGCATGCCAATGGTACTTTCTGACCAGGAGAGTAAGGCGGTTGCTCAATTAAACATTCCGGCGTGGTTCCCCCTTGTCAGTGATGCAGGACTGAGGGCCTGACAAGGACAGCTGTCTAGTCCTTCGGATGAGACGAAAAACCGAGGTCCCGTGTATACATTGGAATGCACGTAAAAGATCCCTTGGTAGTTGGAATTCGATATAAGAGTAGGCGATAGTACCGCTGCCCGGGCAAAATTTCCCTCATAGCACACTGTATGGCGTATGCCCGTCTTCGTTAGCCCAGCATAGGAGCAGAACAGTAGGACGTTAAACCCCATTTCATTTTATTCAATTAAACATACATTATGCAAGAGCTAAATCTGCCTATTGCAGGTCTTTGATTAGGCCTGAAATGTTATCTAAATTATTAATTAGACATTAATTAACTTATCCAGACCATAATCAACTCTCGATGGCATCGCTCGTCTGTGATGTTTATTGGATTACGTTCCGATTTGCTATTCGACTTCCATTTATAATTAAATCAAAAAATGGATAATTGAGACTATCCTACCGGCTTTAGTAATGATGATCGAGGCTAGCCCCAATATTCAATCGCTACAATCTCGGTTCATAGTGGATTAATTTGACTGAAATTTTCAGCAAATTGGCTTTTCATTATCTAGATTTTAACTATTATAGTGAGAATTACCAGCTCTTTAACTAATCTCCCATAATGTATCTTTAAGCTCTGAAACGTGAACATCTGATATCACGTCTCATCTGTATGAAGTCCCGGAATGACTTCTTCCTTTCGTTGTGGATTTATCGGTTGTACGTGACAAGGAGTAAGGTCGCCTGTCCATCCTCGTGGGTTTTCCCCGGGTCCTCCGGTTTCCACCCACTGCTAAAGAACCCTGCGCGCGCGCAAGCGAATTATTGAAATAAGATTTAACCATATGTTAGTCCCGAAATGACCTAGTTTATGCCGAGTGGACGTTGAACCCCATTTCACCCCCCCCCCCTCTCTCTCTCTAATCGACGAAATCGACACCACTGACAACGCATGCCCTGTTTCAAGCACTATCCCAATCTTCATTGAATCGAGTTACTGCAATACCAACGACGTTGACAATAACTGAGTGAAAAGTTAATCTCCAAATAGTCAAGAAGGTTATTTAAAGCTAAAGCTAACTTTTCAACTTCGTGAGTTTTCTCCGAGTAATCCGCCCCACCCCCTCGACCTCGTGAGTTCTCCGAGTAATCCGTCCCACCCTCTCAACCTCTTGAGTTTTCTATTAGTAATCAGCCCCACCCCATTAACCTCGTGAGTTTTCGCCGAGTAATCCGCCCCACAGCCTCAATCTCGTGAGTTTTCTCCGAGTAATCAGCCCCAGCCCCTAAACCTCGTGAGTTCTCCGAGTAATCCGCCTCACCCCCTCAACCTCGTGAGTTCTCCGAGTAATCCACACCACACTCTCAACCTCGTGAGTTTTCTCCGAGTAATCCGCACAACCACACCCAACCCCTCAACCTCGTGAGTTTTCCCCGAGTAATCGGCCCCACCCCCTCAACCTCGTGAGTTCTCCGAGTAATCCGCCCCACCCCCTCAACTTCGTGAGTTTTCTCCGAGTAATCCGCCCCATCCGCCCAACACACCCGCCCTAAAGACCCACTGAGCGCAAGAGAATCATTCAAAATAGAATTAAGCACACCCTACCCTCTAAGCACAAATTGTATCGTATTATGTTAGTTTTAAATGTTGGCCAACTCTTTCTCTCCCTCTCTCCCTCTCTCCCTCTCCCTCTCTCTCTCTCTCTCTTCATCGTGAATTTCCGACGTCTGCCTAGTCGATCGGATGTGACGAAAAACCGAGGTCCTGTGTTTACATTGGCGTGCACGTAAAAGATCCCTTGGCAGTTCGATATAAGAATGGACCATGGTGCAAATATTTCCTTCATAACACACTGTATGACGTATTCCCGTCTTCATAAGCCCAGTTGGAGAAGAACAGTAGGGCGTTTTACCCTATTTATTCCATCTTTCTCTCTCTCTCTCTTTCTCTCTCTTTCTCTCTGTACGGAACGTTAATTGTCATTAATTTAAACAAGCAGTTGGTCGAACGACCCTTCATGAATAAAACGACCTAGTTATTCAACTTATTTACGCTGTTTGTTTATTGAGTAAAATCAAAATTAGTGAGTAATTTGTTTTAAAAAATAGAAAAAAATAACAATCCACAAAGCCAGAACTTTCTTATCCTTTTTCTACTTTAATAATTTTCTTTACGTTTTTCTTGACTTTGTTTACAATTACCATAATATTCATTTTGCTTGAAAGAACACTGGAAAGTCATTGAACAAGATGAATTATTCATAACCAGGGAAAAGAGAAATATTGATTGTTTAAATTTATCAATATAAACAAACTAAATTTCAATACTTTATTTTAGCTAAGGGCAATTTTATTTACTTTCTTTAAACAGCAGCGTTTATAGTTAGTTAGAATATAGCCCTCTACTTGAGAGTCACCTCTTATTGTGAAGCTTTATCGGCTCATGGCCAGTTAGCGACACGTTCTATAGTAGAATGCACGAGACACAATTTAAGAAATTTTAACAGGGAGAGAGGGAGACATGCGGCTTTATAAACGTTCTTGTGTTATGATTAATTAACGTATTGACATTCAAGTTTAGCAACATTCTGTGCAATTTTTTGACTGGTTTAGAATTCTGAAAAGTGTTGGGTTTTTTTTTAAGTCCGATATTGTAATGGTTAAATTGACACAGGACGCGATTGCAGCTTTGCACTTTTAGCACCTAATACTTCTAGTGTTATTCTGCTGGAATCGTTTGTTCCAGGAACCAGCTTAAAACGGATACATATTCTCATAAAAGGTAAGGAGTATCTATAGTTGTTTAAATTATCCCCTACGTAATAGATTTATATTCATGATGTCTAAGGTTATAACACGAATATATGTTTGCTAATTTTTTAAATTATCTCTTACTATTTTTGGCGGACTAAAATGTCTTACAAATGAACTTCAGATGAAGAAATTTTAGATATTTTAATGACAGAGTTAAAAATACAGCAATTTTTAAATATTCTATTCTTTATCCGTATATTTCTAAAAGTATAATCATGTTTATTTGTTAATACTATTCAAGAGTGTTCTTAAGAATGTGAGAAAACGTTAATGAAGACAAACGATAATGTTCACATTTGAAAAAAAACCAAAACAACCTTTCTCTTTTAGTTCAATTATACTTTTTGAGTTTTAATTTATGTGGCACTGCCTACTTGAATTCCATACATTTCTGCTATAAAAACTAATAACGGGATCATATGCAATTCGTTAAGTCTATTTCAACACGTGTTATTGGTGTGGTATGGATATTTCACCGGACTTTCCATGGTCCCGAGTACACACTATTAGTAGCATTGTACAAGTTGAATAAATATATATTTAAAACCCATTGCTGGTATACAAACATTAGGAATATACGTTGAAGGGGCGACTCAAGTACATATGGTTATCGTAAGCATATAGCAATTTGTTGAACGTTAACATATGGCACGAAGGGTTCTCGCTATGTTATCTAGGGGGAGGCACCTTTAATACAAAATGGATGATATGCAATATCTTCTCGTCTCCATGTCCCATTTCGTTGATAATATCATTAGTACAATTAAAGAAATATCTCTACTTAAATGCATAGTAAACTTTATACAATTAGGATCATAGAAGGCTAATGTCTTGCAGGTTCGTTAGAAAAGGTTAAATTGTTATCTTGATGTTTGGGTATTTACCCCTGATGATAACAGTCTAGCGTATGTAGGTATATTATATATATACACACCGGTGAATAATATACCCTGACAAGGGAGTCGTATATTTAACAATTTATAATTTATAATACATGTATACTGATGGCATAGGTAATACTATATGAAATGAAATGGGGTTTAATGTCCTACTGTTCTACCCCTACTGGGTTAATTTCAAATATAGAAATACCAACACTACGAATACAGGTGAAGTGTTCTGTGGTAAATGAAATGAAATGAGGTTTAACGTCCTACTGTTCTGCTTCGACTGGGCTAATGAAGACGGGCATACGCCATACAGTGTGCTATGAGGGAAATTTTGCCTGGGTAGCGGCACTATGGCTTACTCTTATATCGAATTCCAACTGCCAAGGGATCTTTTACGTGCATGCCAATGTATACACGGGACCTCTTGGTTTCGTGCCAACCGAACGACTAGACAGCTTTCCTTGTCAGCCCCTCCGTCCTGCATCACTGACAAGGGAGAACCACGCCGGCAAATCCCGTTGGACTTTCTCGACCAATGCAGGGAACGAAGACCCGACCTCCAGGCTAGCAAGCCGGCGTCTTACTAACCTAGCCACCGTGGCTCCGGTATTACTATAAGTATATGCTATGTTTAACTGATATTTTTCAGTATGTATGAAATACTTTAGATAAAAAAACAATAACAAAAATGTAGTCGCTATGAGATACGGTATCCAGTCTCCCAAAAGAAGTAATCACACCCTTGCGAACGACACTGGAAGGTAAAGACAACGATGACGTTACTGATTAATGTTTTCAAATAAGCTAAAATTAAAAAAAATATTCGCCTAATAGCAAACTGAATGGCGTTTGCCTGACTTCATTATTGGAGTCGTAGAAGAACAAGAGGACCTTGAAACCTATCTGATTCCATTTCATTTCCGTGGTATTTGGAATTCGAAGAAGGATGAACGAAAACAACAATCTAGGGGACAAACTCTCCTCCTGAGTACCCACAACTATAGTATACTCTTCAAAAAAAATAGGGGATATTGAAATGCAAATACCTATGCAGGTTGTGATATGATAAATAGTTATGGACACTTGACATGCTTTGAGAGTATGTTCACAGATGAAGAACTTATCGAACCAACAGAACCACTGAGTTGCACATGCGACTCGCAATAGCGCCATACACGTAGGAGGGTTCATTGTCAAATTTGACACTTCAAGGAAGGGTTAATGAAAACTGCCGCGTGCTGATTTACCTATCCATGTTTGCTTTCCTATCGGTTCTTGCATAAGATTTACTGTTTAGCATATCTTTGCTTTAGTGTGTTACGTTTAATTTGATCATTGGTAGGCAATTGGCCTATTATTAATATACACTGGTTACCTCTAATAAAAACAGCAGTGCATTTCCGCAGTTTTGTATTGTTTCAGAATATCCCCTACATTTTTTGAAGAGTAAATATAAAATCATGACAGAATCATCGTGCCTTCAATATAATGTTGTCATACTTTGTTATCACGCAAATTCGCCATTTTGTTCTTTTTTTTTAATTTGAATTAAAGAAAAACTTTTATGATTTGATAAAACTTTGATAAAACTATCAACAAAAAGAACTATTTATAGGAGAGCTGTTGGTGGGGTTTACTTGGTAACAAATGTTGTTGAAATATTAAATAGGTAAATAATTTCCAATTGTTCCATTTCGTGATTCACATACTTTAATCGCTCATCGCGATTAACATCTTTCGGGTGATTGTGCTTATTGAAGGCGTGGATAATGTGCTTTTATTGAGATGACGTCAAACACTCCTTATTATAGAGAATTGTATAATATTGAGACAGCATACTTCAATGAATCAAGGTCTTAAAATAGCCCGTATATTACGAAGCCGCCCCTACTTCTGGAAACCCCTACATTTATCTCTCAATCTTTAATGAAATAGTCAATCCTTGGTGTTCTTTATGGGTTGTTTAATAAATATGCATATTCAAAAAAGCATTTTAAAATTTCTTAATAATTGTCATTTCTGTGGATTGGTATATTGGGAGACATTTTGGTATGACCATGGTCCGCAATATACTATTACTGTCCGGGTTGCCTGTCCAACCTCTTGGGTTTTCTGTGAATTGGCAGACATCTAGGTATAACCATGGTCCGCAATATACTATTACTCTATTACTGTATTACTGTCCGGGGGTTAAGTGGGTAAGACGCTGACTCGCTAGTCTGGAGGTCGGGTGTTCGATCCCTGCATTGGCCGAGAAAGTTCACCAAGATTTTCCGGCGTGATTCCCCCTTTGCAGTGATGCAGGACGGAGGGCCTTACAAGGACAGCTGTCTAGTCATTCGGATGATACGAAAAACCGAGGTCCCGTGTACACATTGGCGTGCACGTAAATGATCCCTTGACAATTGGAATTCGATATAAAAGTAGGCCGTAGTGCCGCTGTCCGGGCAAATTTTCCCTCATAGCACACTGTATGGCGTATGCCCGTCTTCATTAGCCCAGTTCGGAGCAAAACAGTAGGACGTTAAACCCCATTTCATTTCATTACTATTACTGTCCATGGTCCATTGAAATAGTGTCGGGTTCCTGGGTGATCGCTATGGCAATTGCAATGCTATTTGACGCCAAAGTTCTGACTTGTTGACCTGTGGGACCAATCAGACTTGCATCATGATCTCCCGACATTTTTTTTATAGTTGTTTTGGACCATTATGTTATCTCGCTAGCTTCTTCCGACTTTGTTTCTAGTAAAACAAACCACAAAAAACATTTTTAGCTTTGTGAAATTCTCAGATAACTAAGAAGTGATATGACCTGTTCTAGAAAATGTAAGCAGGCCTGAAATTTTATCTAAATTATTAATTAGACATTAATTAACCTATCCAGACCATAATCAACTCTAGATGGCATCTCTAGCCTGCGATCTTTAGTGGATTATGAGCATAACTTTCCTTCACGATTTAACGATTAAATGGATAATCGAGACTATGCTGTTTATCGTACTGACTTTAGTAATAATGATCGAGGCTAGGCGGAAATTTCAATTGCATAGTTCTCGGTTCATAGTGGATCAATTTGAATGAAATTTTCAGCAAATTGCCTTTACATTATCTAGTTTTTAACTATTATAGTGAGAACTGCCAACTCGTTATCGAATCTCCCAAAATGTATCTTTAGTTGTAACTAATTTGCACAAGAGAGAGAGAGAGAGAGAGAGAGAGAGAGAGAGAGGGAGATGGGGTTTAACGTGGACTCGACACAAACTAGGTCATTTCGGGACTAACATATGGTTTAATTTTATTTACATAATTCGCTTGCGCGTAGGGGTCTTTAGCAGTGGGAGGAAACCGGAGGACCCGGAGAAAACCCACGAGGTTGGACAGGCGACCCTACTCCTTGTCACGTACAACCGGGGATTCGAAACCACGCTAGTCGACTCAATGACAGACTTTCTGATACAGCGCGCGCACGCTAACCATTCAGCCATCCAACCCCCCCTAATTTGCACAAACCGGAGCTACTACTCTTATTGCGCAGTTGGTCACTGGCAGAGTTTCCAGAATTCTAAATAGCTCTAGCCCACAGTTTCCCCAGGACTATCTCACTAATCACTAAATACTATTTATCTTTAAGTGATGACGATTTCTTTAATGTCATGCGCACTCACTATATACACAAATCGTATAAATACACCCAATGTATGAATAAATATGCCCCGCACAAATTGCCCATTTTTCTTAGCAGTTTTTATGCGGATCTGATACTTCATATGGTTAATAGGAAACAGGTGATCTTTAATACATAGGGCAAGTAGCTTCATATTATTTCCAAATGGTGCACAGATTCGGTGTTACTGGATCTCATTATAACATCAATACGAAACTAAGAAGCCTTTTTTTATTTATTCTGTTTTCTGTAAGGGGATATACAGTTACATGTTTGGGTCAATCATCTAAACCAGTGCAGGGGTTCGAAGTTACTGGATCTTAATTTAAAAAAACATAGAATACATATTATATATATTCACTGGATCTTAATTTAAAAACATATAGACTACATATATATATATATATTCTTT